AAACTCTTGAGTCGATTTCGTCTAATTTTGTTTTCAAATCTCAAACTAGTTTTACAAGCATGATAAGGAGCAATTAGAATTCAAATTTTTGCTTTTTCATATAAAATTCGAAGAGAGCTTAAGTCATTTCAGTAGACAGGCATAGGCATCTAAGCAAGCAAGACCGCAATTCATGGTGGTTAAGATTGCATCCATATTTCGGAGACTGCGAAGGGCTTGTCTAACCCCTGTAGAGTAAATAAAAGCTTACCTTTTTTATATACATTTCAAATGCTGGGTGTGCGGGATTCGTTTCATAATAAATAAAACTTTTTTACTCGTTTAGATGTATTATCTTTATACCCAGCACTGTAGGATGGGGTCACACTCACACCCTCACAGACCCTATAAAGTATATATATTCTTTGATCAGCGAGAAATTCTAAATTGATTTAGCCATGTCTGTCCGTCTGTCCGTCTGTTTATTGTTGTCACTCTCCTGGTCGTAAAAATGAAGATATCGACTTCAAATTTGGTAGAAGCATTGCAAGTTTTTGCTCGCAGGTTGGTGTTGAAAATGGGCTAAATTGCCCGGAGCAGAAGACCGCAATGGAGCATAAACTGAAAGCAACTCCGTTTTTCTTAACAAAAATTTCTGGATTTTTTCTCGTTACTCGGAAATTATTAATGTTAGAAGGCTGGAATTTTCCACATTCACTTTGCGAAACACTCTACTTTTTACGTTGAAAAATGGAAGCAATCGCCCATGCCCACACCAAGTTGCAACTAATTAAATTTTCCTTTTTTTCACTTTTTTGAAATTTTATGCTTATTTATCCATAAGGCAAACAATAGAGAATGTTTAAAATTATTTTGTGTGCTCCTCAAATGAAGATATATTTTACCTGCCGAGAAATGGGTTATTTCTAAAACGAATGTCGTAGACGCCGCGATTAATTTTTTCTTAATCATCCCAGCGATATGGGTATCAAATAAAAGGACTGGGAGAGTGGAATGCGAAAAACATAGTCGTGGGTATGTGAGATTCGGCCTCCGCCGAATATAAATTTTTTATTTGTTTTGCTCATACTTCCATGACAATTAGTTGTAAAGCGAGAAATTTGCATCCTTTGCTTAACAATAATAAATGAGAAAATATTCGCATAATATATAAGAATAAACTATAAGTTTTAAGTTCTTGTGAAGGTTCTCTTATTCATAAAAAAATTATTTCGCTGGACGTCCGCTCTTTTAAACTAATAATAAATTGACTAACGTTTCTTTACAAACTGGCGTCAAAAAGAGCGCACAAAGTTTGTTAGAAACATAGTTAAAATATAGTCGCACGCAATGAATTGAATGAATTACGTCTTCTCTTAATATAATTTCTACGATATATATTAATCATAATAACTTAACAGTAAATCAAGATTAATTACTTTTGATTCCGTCTAAAAAGTAGTTTTTTTTTTATTTTAATTTCATGCAATGCACTGAAATATTCTTGCGACAAAGACCTTCATTGTGGCCCCTTTGTCTCCTCTAACTCATTTTTAATCAATTTATATGTTTTTCATTCACGAATTCTTTCTTTCCATTCCTTAGCCGACCTATTTACCAATGTTGCAAAGCGAGCTATGTTTTTGAATGAACAAAATTTTGTTATTTATGATCGAACGTTGAACTCTTCATAAAGTTAATAAACTTTTGAAGAAAGACTTTTGGTGTGGGAAAGCTCTTTGTTATGCCCGGAAGGAAGCTCCGGATGCTCCCGTAAAGTATATTTACCCTGGATCATCATCGATCGATTTAAGCATGTCCATCTGTCCGTCTATTGCAAACATTCTTCTGGCCGCAAAAATGAACCGATCGCCAAACTGAGCAGATATGGAAATTCTTGCTCGACGGTTAGTATTGACTATGAGTCACTTTGTATGTTCTTTGCTTGTTACTTATAAAGTGCACAACATGCACGATATGAACTTCCACTTTTATTCTAAAAATAAAAAAAATCAGCCATGCCCACCCAATGTTATAGGGGATGAAAATTTAGTTGTTTTTTTTTTTTTTAGGCTAACGGTGATGGATATAAGAGATTCGGTCAAGAGCGATATAATGTTTTTGCTCGTTTTCTTTTAAATCCGTCTGAGTAGGTGACTAAGTACGAACGGGGACTAAAGCGTCGGTATTCGAGGTAATCAAATCTGAGGTTCAGTAGAATTGTCTTTAGTCGTAGTTATAGTGAGTGGTCAGTGGGCGAAGGCGTAACACCGATTGGGCAGGCAACCACTAAGCGGCCTCCACCACGCCCAACTTCTTTCCTCTCTTCTAACTGACCGTCACCGTATTAAAAATAGCGGCATCCCCTAAATGATAGGTTAAGTAAAAAAAAAAAGAAAATGCAGAGGTAAATTGGAGTTCCACCTAATAATAAGCGAAACCAACCGACAATAGTAAAAATATTAACAACAAGTCCCTCGATTCGGGGAGTATGATTTTTAAGTTGCCAGAAAGAGCTGAATGGCCAGCCTTCATAACAAATAATAAAGATATTTTAAGGCAGCTTATCTAGTTCTTCAACCTATACCTATAAAGAACCCTCTTTTCTTTACTGGAATAATGATTCTACGTCGAATATATATATATATAAGGTTTCTTCACCAAGCCATCATTTTTTTTATGACATATATAGCGCATTGGCTCTATATGTAAGGGCTCGGCGATGCTGAGAAAAGATCGTAGGTAGGGAAGTAGGAAGAAGTTGAGTTTATTTAAAATCAAGTAGAGTGAGAAATGTCTCTAAGGTTTAAAATTTTAGAGCTTCTTCACCTATTCTTATTCAATAAACAGTGAGGTCCCTTGAAACACAATTCAACCTTAAGTGTGTGTCTTAATACAATTTAAAAGCGTAAAAAAGTAAAAAATTCTTAATTGCGTATTTTCTCTTTTCATATTAAGGTTTTAATGCCGTGCCTTTGGCAGTATCGTGACAATACGAAAAATCGCCTGCATATTTGCATATCGCACACATACACATAATCCACTCTATAAATTTACATTTTTTAGGCAATAAATTTGGAAAAAAACTTTAATATTTAAAATGTACGTAACTGTAGGCGTTGTGTGTGCAGGTGTATGTGTGTATATGTGTTTATGTGTATATATTTGGAAAATTTCAGCTATGCAAGCAGCAGACCCCTTTAACTGGGTGCGGTTCTAAAAGGAAATGAAAGTTATGAAAATTTGTTCTTGCTATATGTACATACATATACATATATATATATATATATATATATATACAGTAAAGAGGTGGTTGTTGTAAGAGCGTATAGCTAAAGGCCGCTTTTTCGAATGCACATTACACTAGATTTGGTTAATAAGAAATAATTTTAAATTATATTCATTTCATTAAAAGCAAATACTGCAGCTATGTCGGTTGCCTACGTATTAACAAACACATAAACGCATTGATCGGTGCATTGACGACTTGCATCGAATTAAAGGAGAACAAAGAATTGTGTTACACTTGCATGCATATATATAAAATCTGTACAGATTTGGTATCATTTTCATTTTATTGAAAGAACGACCTTAAACACAAACACACGCATGCAGTTGCAAATGGAACAATAAAGGAAAAAAGCAAATAAAAAAAAAAAAATAAATTTCATTTGATGAGACGCCATATTTTTATGTTACTTGTGAATACAAAAGCTATGCACACATGCACATTTACGGCCAGTAAATGCGTGAACATTACTAGAGAGGGTTGTATTTTTTTATTTTTTTTTATTTTCTTTATTTGAAAAGCCTAAATATAATTTCCTTCAGCTTTATAGCGTAGTGCTGATATACATATAGGCTAGTGCATTGCTCATATATATATATATATATGTATGTGTATATATATATATATGTATATAAATATTCAATTCAAATATGAAAAGGTATATACTGGCTGGCGTTGGAAATTAAATTTTCATTTCTTTTAAGAAAATAATCAAATTTTCTTTAGTTTGCTTCCATTTTATGACAATGTTATGAGACATCTCAGTAATCAGTATTTGCGTTTATTGAAAAAATTGTTACAAACTTTTAATGGGATATCCTTTTCCGCACTTATAAAAAAAGACAAACATACACACAACTACATGTACGCAAATTTGATTGTCTATGTATTAGTGTATTTTAGACCCCTTGGCAAGGTTACCAATTTTTATATATATTTGTGTAAAAAGAGAAGCAGAAAAGTTCAAAATTCAATTGATTATAATCGAATAATTAAAGTCTAGTCTAGTCTTCATATCTGCACATTTTCTAAACTCAGTATTTTGTGGAGTTTCAGTTGAAATTTTAAAGAATAATTTTATTATACACAGTTGAAAAAGTCAGATTAAGAAGAGGGATGATTGTAGCGGTATACGACATCTGCGATATAATATGTGTGACAGCTTCAGGAGGACAGCTTTACTCCCATTTCGCTCGCTTTTCATTCCTTTTAAAGTAAAGAATGTACAAAATAAATCTTTCCAGCATTGGTTATGTTCCGATATCAGTGCATGTGGTTGCGAATTGATTCAAAAGTATTTCTGATATTCTCATGGTTTCTAATGGACGGCTTTTTAACTTAACGTATTAACGATATTCGATTTGCTTTACCTTCACTCATAAGAATACGATCCATTAGATATCTGGTAACCCTAGTCGTCAAGTCTGTTTTTTTTTTTTTTTTTTTTTGTTATTGATGTGCATTATATGAAACGAGTGCAGACGATAGCTAAAAACGAAATAGCTATAAAATTTAGTCGTTGCCGTTCAAGCAGCACTCGCTAGGCCACGTTACCAGAGCATTACAGCAAATTTTAGGTCCTTTTATGAAATCATGTTAAAAAACAGGGATCGCACATGCGCAGTTAAGAACGCACGTTAAAAACACCAAAAAGTATTTTAGTCACTTTCATATGACTATACACATACACAAAAACACACAAGTTTAATCAAATTATCAAAAATTTTCTTACCACTTAAGCCTATAGAAGTCAACCCGTCATTCTCTATGCTATTGCTTTAAGCGGCTTTCCCTGGAACTTTTCATTGATTTTTTTTTAATTTTTTTTTTTATATTTTACTGCGGCATTTGAAACAGCGACACTACAATATTAAGCCTAAAGTAAGTTTGCTATTGTTAATCTAAATTAATTTCTTAAATTTAAAAAATGATTTTCACAAATTGATATACAAACGTGATATTCAATTTTAATTATTATAAATTTTTCTTTCCTGTTTTTTTTTTTTTTTTTTTTTTTTTTTTTTTTAAAAATACAATTTTTCTTATTTGTTTGTTTTGTAGCGTCGGTGAATGCGATATTTTCCGGTTGTGAATCGTGTCCTATACATTGATGATTCTAATACAACTGCATTTAATACTTAAGCTGTTATTTTCAGTTACTTGCTTGCTCAACGACAAATACGAAACTGACATATTTTAATACGCTTGATGCGCTCAGCACTCATGCGGCCTTTACTACATAATAAAACCAACAATAATAATAGCAACAACAGCAACAACAACAACACGTGCAAGCGAGGGTAACCCGTAACCCTCAAATAAGCCAAACAACAAATAGACGACAAACAACCAACTGATGAGGAGAACCAGTTATAAAACTAGGTTTTAGGTTAAATATTTCAATTGCTCTCATCGTTGCGTTAATCTAACTCTCTCAGCATTCACGTAACCTTTTCTATAAGATATTATTATTTGAAAACTTGCTTGCTGCTTCTCTCCTCTCAGGGCGAAAATTATTAAATATAAAATCTTCATGGTCGTCCATTCAGTAAGGCATATATATATATGCATTTATATATGTGTACATGGAGTTGAAATTATTTTATTTCCGACTACTAATCATTTTTTAATGATTTGAATTCGAGTCGCGAAATAAACGAAATATTGACTATATTTATATTTACTGGGGCCTTCCTCCTCCCCCCCTCCCAAAGAAACAAATTCCTTGATTTCTGGCTTTGTAAAATTTCTCTCTTTAACAAATTTTCTCTCTCTCTCTCTCTCTCTCTGTCTGTTTCTCTCTCGCTCTGGCTCTCTTTCTCAACCATTTTCTCGTTTAGCATCCTTAGCGTTTTGCAGTTGAAATACAATAATACGGTTTGGTAGTTGATTTTACATATTTTGATCCTTTTTATACTTATATTTCCATAAGCGCTCAACACCCCATTTATCAGTTCGTACGTTCGCTTGCGTTGATATGTCTATCTTGCGTGGTGACACTTATGCTTTTTCTCATTAAGTCGCTGGGTTTTTATCATTACTGTTATCGTTGATTGTTGACAAATGTAAACATATATATAGTCTTTGCGTATATATATAAATATATATATACGGTATCTATATATATCATAAGTAAATAAAATGGAAATCTCAGGCCTCATTAATCAGATAACTTAAGAGTTGTTGACTGCTCTTATTGTGTAATATTTCCTATTACTACACTATGTGCATCGTTAACTTACTATTTTTGCTTTACTTTGCGCATTTTAGGTAAAAAAAAAACAAACAATTAAGAAAATTATGTTCGGCCGCGAACGAATCCTTTACACCCATCACAATTATTCTAAAACAGACTAAAGTAAGAGCAAAAAGCTAAATTTCCGAACTCTATAACGTTGCGTGGGCGTGGTAAATTGTTTTCTATTTTTATAGAATAAAAATAGTGCCAACGTATAAAATGTGTCTGAAGCAGACATGTCCATTTTTGCGACCATGACCATGTGCATGTTTATCACAACAACAATTAAAAGACAAATGAATAGACACACTCACACTCATGCCAAATATTTGTTACTGATCAATAATATGTGGACTCTGTAGGGTCTCTGATGCTTCTTTCTAAACGTCGCAAACGTTTTGGCAAGAGAATGACAATAAGCACCTGCTGCAGGACACTTCATGGAATATCAATGCAAATTTTTATCTTTTGCGTATTTTTATACTGTGGGCGTATCCCTTGACCAATTTGGCTGATTTTCAAGAACAACCTGTGCGCAAGAACTTTTAGTCTATCAGCTAAATTTGAAGCAGATAGGTCCTTTCTTGCGATTAGGATTACGTTTACCACAGGGAAACACAACAGACAGACGAACATTCCTAAATCATTTTAAGATTTGATCAAGACTACATATGCTGTATGGGGCTCATGAATGAAAAAATAGATAAAAAAGAGAAACAAAATGCTTCAGCCTTTTTTATGTACATTTACATAGATGAATATATATTGAATATATATGAATATATGTATATATAGACAGATAATGTAAGTACTTTCCTTCTTGTAGTTTTCCATCAATTTTGGGTTATTGGCCATATGTGGACTTATTGCGTGATTATCGGCCAAACTTTTATACGCTTATTCTCACATTTTTCGCTTAATCTCGTATGTGGCCAAATTTTTTTACAAATATTTGAACAATTATTCAACAAATGTAAACAAATTGGACGCTTAGTCGCACATTTTGTCGGCTCTGCACATAGTGTAATAGTATAGAAAGACAAAGAAAAAAAACGTATTTACTTTTATGGTAGGAGACCCTCTTTAATGGCGTTCTATGACATCTATTCGAAGCTACAAAAAAACTACACTGTGCACGCTTCAGTGTAGTCATCTTTGCGATGGCGCATAACTTAAAGAGGCAGCCACAGTTTTATCCAGCGCCCTGTAGCGCCACTCACGCCACTCTCTTAGAAAGCAGGTGTGTCAAATTCATGTACCCAAGGGAATTTTTTTTTCGTTTTATTCCATTATGATATCCATGAAGGATTGTGAGCAAGTTTTTTTGGGATAGATGATAAAAAAGTTACAGGCAAACGACATTTGTACAAACCATTGAGGAATATTTCAAATAACGCAATATTTATGCTTAAATCGAGATAGCATTGCTGATTGGGTGTTAGCTTCGGTATAAATGCTTTTATTGCCTTGCTAAAGGACATTGCTGGATATATGCTAACACACGCAGGACTAGCGGCGTCAACGCACTTACCATCACCTATCATGGATAGAATCCGTGGCGTGCCTCCACGTCTTAGTAAAACGTCAGTACGTGGCACGTAGTCAACTTTCTTAAGATGGGTAGTTAAAGGTTGGCAGTCTCGATGGTGATACGTCCCGATATTAGGAGAGCGTAATGCACAGATATAACCAGGCATAGCAAATAATAATAAAAGTCGCAATTTCTGAAGTACAACCTGAAGTTTTCTTATTAAATATGTAAATGAATATCGTTTAGTCGATTCAATAATAGAAATGTAAAATCTCTCATATTTTTAACTCATTTCTTATTGCCCTCACTGCTATAGAAACATTGGTCTATTGTTTATGTCTGGAAAAATTTGTCGGAATTGTACCAACTGCGCTTTTGTCAGACTAAGTTTAACGAGGAGGGACGGAGGTGTAATTAAGTAAATTAATAATTTTCCTTCTTTTTTTTTTTTTGTAGGCCAAATAACTACTAAGTTTCAAGTACTTCGAATATGCCTTACTAGGTGTCGCGAATGGTATGAAAATTTAATATAACTGCATAATTTGATGATGTAATAAATGCACTTAACGTATGTTTTTATAAATACATTTATTATATGCGCGTAAAACTTAACGATCCTTTCGTATAACATTTTCAAAGCAATAGGATAAAACAGTAAAGATATATATTAATAGGAGGCAATAATATAAATAATGCAACGGCAAGGGTTAGCAAATGGAGTTTTGTAGATATAATGTGTAGCCCGTAACACTATTAAAACAAGTTCTTCTCCACAAAGTCGGAGGGAATTCTTAAAGACCACATAAAGTGTATATAGTGTTGATCAGCCGATTTGAGCATGTCCATCCGTCTGTCTGTCTGTCTGTCTGCCCGTAACGTCATTCGCACAGTGCAGTGTAGTCTGAGATCAACTCCTTTTCAAATATACAAAAAAATGTTTTTTTTTAATTTTATTTTTATTTTCACGTTTATATTCTATGGCTGATTCTAGAGCACATGTGCAAAAGTGGGAAAAAATCAACCCCGTCTCCTTAGTATTATTGAATAACAACATTTTATGCACTTGTCAAAACGTTTGCAGCATTCGGAAAAATGCTGCAGAGATCCTATAAAGTCTACAGTATTATTGATCAGTGCTCAACAGCGATGGGTATAAAAGATTCGATCGCGACCAAATATAATTTTTTTATTTGGTATTTGTTAGTGCTTTTTTCATATATATATACACATATATATATAGATATATACATACATATACATATATACAAAATTATGAAATCTTCTATAAAACTGAGAAATATTAAAATTCAAAAATTACTTTTAGTTACTTTAGTTATTTGATACATTTCCTAATGAGCGCTAATTGATTATGCGATGATTTTGCTGCTACGTTTGCTATTTATTTTCTATATGTGAACTTGGAAATACATTGAAATCTAAATATTGATTAGAGCCTTTATTTTCTTCCGTTTTTGTATTCCGCTTATTATTCCAAAAGTTGTTTAAACAACGCAGTCGTGATATTTGCTTTTAAGTGTGTCAAAAGTGTAAGTGTGTGTTAAAAAATGAAAAAGCTGAGGTGAGAATTCCATGAGAATTCAATTAGAGAGTTTATATATTTTTTAATGGTAGCTACAGTGACACAAATAAAAATTTCATAATAGGAGAAAACACGAAAGAAAGTCATATTGGCCGGAAAACAAGCCGTTGCGACCTCAAGCCTCAGCTTGAACAGGTTTATAAAAATTGCACGAACATATATTTTACTTGGATACATGTCGACAGTGAAGGCATATTTGTCAAGGCCATTTATTAGTTTATTGCAAAAAAAGTGTCCTCCAACTGACGCTGGCATGCCATCGGTTAACAAGTTATCTGGCCGGAGAAAACCGCAATTCCGATATCAGTGTATCGATACTCTTAGCTATAGATTAAAATTTTCTAAATAGCGCGACCTGCGAACTACTATTTAAATCTTGACAAAAAGTCGTATATATGCATATATTTGCATATCTGACAGTCATAGCTAATATTGTTTTAAAATTGATTTTAAATCACTTAAAAATTCCTACTCCCGTATGCTCGCAATGGGCACTTTATCTGGTCCGCAGTTAAGGAAGAGCTACGTGAAGTCTTTTCGCTTTAAGCAGAATATAGATTTTTTATCTCTTTGACTG